CATTTTTTAAGCTTTATATATGTAGAATATATTCCGGAAATATTAAATTAAAATTCAAAAAAATAAAACCAATACAGTTATTTGTACTGTACTGTGCATGAAGCTCAGTGCAGATATAAATGTGGCACTATAAAGGCTACCACACAATGGGCAAAATATAAACGTGAAACCACGATACCGGAGAATGCCATAAAAGTAATTATACTGGTTTACAAAGATTTGAACAGCAGTAAATTACTAAATTTCACTTGTTGAAAAATTAATACATTTTTAATACCTTATGCTTAACTGAAATTACACTCGGATACTTTAAAATAACAAGTGAAATTTGTAAAAATATGTTCTTTTAATTCATTGTACTATTAAGTATAAAAACAATTGCATTTATATCTATTATACCAGTACCTTAAACAATTTTTAAGGAACATGTATTTTCAAGAGCATCACTTTATTGGTTCTCCTTAACCAATAAATATGACTTTTATTATTTGTGAATATTTTGATATGTTTTTCAATTGTTAAATAGAAATATTATATATTAGTCCATGTGTAGTGAAGACAAAATAATTGGATAGCTACCTTCAGACGAGCAGTAAGCGTAAGTGGAACGAACCCAAGGGTACTCTCAATCTCTCTTTTCCTTTGTACAACTTCCCTCCCAAGAATTTGATTAAAATGTGTAGTTAAATGTCTACGGAGAAGAGTTTTTCCAGGGGAAATACTAAGTAATGTGGCTAACAGTTCGGAAGTAAATCTGCCTTCGTACACCATTAAGCCTCCATGTACTCCAGATCCTCTCATATTTGGAGCATATTCCGCTAAATCAACTACTCTAAGCCATTCCATTACTCGATGGTTTGTCCAGAGACGAATATTACCACCATCTGCTCCATTCCCGTTTGTTGATCTTCTTTAAATTTATGTAACCCTTTTAGCTCTAAATACTTTATTATGCAATAACGCAACACACGTACGCTATGAACCAAATACTTTTTGCGGCACAACATGCACTATTAACTTGTATTTTTCACATAAACTAGTTACCTAATGTTAATTTAGCGGGTAGCTGTGCGATTGAGAATTCATTATTCAGAACGCGATGCATACAACACAATAGCACTACGCTGCGTACATTAGGAAACGCTAACGCCGCCGACATATCAACTTTGAAACTTAATATCTCGATAGTGGTTTATGCGAAAGACACAAGTTAACAGTATTTAGAAAATGTTTCGATGTCAACTACAAGAATATGCAATAAAAAATAAAAAAATATAGTTCCCATTTGAAAATATAAACGTGATCTTTACAGGACTTTTCGAGGTCATTACAAAATAAATATCGGTATGATATGCCTCCTTTGACATCATACAACATTTATTTGAAACATTTTTCCGTATCATCCATAGTTTTCAAGATATTTACATATTTTTCATATTTCATACTGTATACAGAGTGTCCAGTAACTGGTGGGAAAAATTTCAAGGGATGGTTCTATAAGCCAAAATAAGACGAAAATCAAGAATAACGAAATACCATTTGAGACTTCTATCGTATTTTAGTTATAAGCAGTTAAAAAATTGGCTAAAATATTCCTGAGGCCCAGCAAACCTTTACACGTTGGCCTTCACACTAGTATTGGACACATAGTATATGGGTCCTTAATTTGTAGCATGCGTTTCGTTGGAACCTATACATGGGTTCATAGTCGTGAAAGGTTTGAATACTAAATTATTACTAATTTATACATTAAATTATATTAGTTATAAGTTATTACTGTGGCTCACTTAATATTTTAAAGAAATTAAATAAGATTAAAACTTGTTAATGTTACTTGAATTCCTCGTCTAAGACTTGCAGCATGTAATTGTGCAGTAACTCCAAGATTTAGAAGGTCTTCAGTGGTAAGTCGGTGTAACATTCTTCCATCAACTTTACCATTTTGAAAAGCTTCTTTATGTTGTGGTAAACCAATGTCATCAAGCCACCGCAGAACTGCCGCATTATCCATCTATATATTTATAAATGATTATAGAATTATGTATACGACTTATAAAATATTAAAAATTACCTTATCTGATCCAAGAAATTCAGCTCCACCAAATCTTTCTGACTCTATTGCATACAATAATTTCTTCCTGTGAAGAATATTTTTAATTTCTAATTCTTTTTCTAATTGTTGTTGTGAACATTCAAATAATTTCGATCCAGTAGCACCCCATCGTCTCAATTCACCCGCATAACATTCTAATCCTAGATTTGTAAGCCAATCCCCAATTTCTTCCATTGAGAGTTCTATTAAAGATTTTTGTGCAACTGATTCTATTCGAGAATTTGAATCTTCTATAATTGTTTTTTCTTCTTCAGCTAAAATACAAAAGTTGGCAATATATAAATTTTATAACATGAAATTAAATTTATTATGAATTTAATGTTACATTATACATTAATTATAAATGTAAAGCAAAAGCACATAAATAATTTCAAATTACAATAAATATCAAGTTGTTGTCTTTCTTACATTGATATTATTGCATTATACAATGTAACATTAATTACATATGTATTATGTTGCAGATAAAGAATAAGAAAAAAATTTTCATGCAAATTCATCTATTCAGTATCGAATTCAAGTCTCAGATAATAAGTGTAATTGTTGTTATTAGAAAATGGATTTTAAATAATTATCCACGACTGCCTGTCATGTAGAACAAACATACAATTATTTTTTTAAACAAAAAACATCTAAAAATGCATGCTTAGTGGAGGAATCAATCGCAACCTAGAGTAGGCGCAGACAGGCACCTCGCGGAGGGTCCTTTAACGGCCAATGGCACTGTTGTGTGTGCTCCAGAAACTAAACTGGGTACCTTACCGAACACTACGCCTTTCTTTGATGAACTTGGTGGCCTAGGAAGACTACTATATTGGCTGGTATGCCTTCCAAATTTTTCTCCCTATAATAAATCATTAACAATAATATTTTCTACCATTACTATTATTACAAATTCAGTA